TTGGCTGTTGGTAGAGATGGCAATTTCGGCCAATCCGTTGGATACCCGCACCGAACCGATTTGGTCAAACTGGGGAAAACCGGTTTGACTGGGGAATGGATACGGGGCGGGGAATACCTGAATCTTTTAAATGGTTAATGGTGCGGTTATGGTTCTATACTAATCCGCCCCGTTATCCGCCCCGAAACCGCCCCGTTCACTAATGGTGCGGGTACCCGCACCGTTACCCGATCCGTAACATTATTAACGAATCATAACTTTTTATATATACGAATAATAAGTACATATGCTAAATTGTGTATACTAAATAGTATATATGGAGTATCATATAAATAATGCTAAAAAGTATACTATGAGTACTTTTTTGGCCTAATACTAAATATAGGCCTAAACCTGATTTTGGAATTTGGATTCTCGGATGATTACTATTTTTTATTATTATGTTACAAGAGATATTAGGTGCATGTCATACTAATGAATTTAGGCCAGTCTGCTTGATTGCTTAAATATTTACTTTTGTATGTTTTAGGGTGCTTTGAATATATAAATAACAAGTAGGATTAGAAATGGTTTTTTTTTTCAAAAAAATTGGTTATTTGGTATCATTTGGGGAAACGGTTACCCGTGGATAAACCGATTCCCCGTTGGGGCGGGTATGGTTCAAGTAAAAATTACCCGAACGGGTAATGGGGCGGTTTTGGGGCAAACATTTATCTAATGGGGCGGTTTCGGTTTTATGTGTACCCGTCCCCGATCCGCCCCGTTGCCATCACTAGCTGTTGGCTGATTATGTTAGCTGATTAATGACAGCAGATTTTGTTGGCTGTTTTGATTAGCTGATTGGATTAGCTATCTATAAATTAGTGTTTGGTTAAATGGTTGTTTACAAACAGCTGATAACTTGTAAAATAACTTTTAAGGACATGAATTATTTTTTATTAACATAATTAGTATAACTACCTAAACCATTTTAATGATAAAAAATAAAATTGTATTGACACGTACAATTAATAATTATTTTAATTAATAGATTTAATAAGTATCATAATACTTTGATTTTCTTAGAGAAACGTCAGCATGATACTTTGATTAATAATTGGAGTTATTAGTAATAAAAATAAAATTAAACGTAGTACCAAAAAATTGATACTAATACGCATATTAGCATATAGCCACTTGTAAGACGCTTTATAACCAAACACGCCAAGACCATAATGAATTCATTTTGCATGTGTTAAGTAATGAAAAATGTATGCATGAAGCAAGTTCATTTCAATCAAAACACCTTGCTTACTTCATTTCCTTATTATATACTCCCTCCGTCCCATTTTGGTTGTCCAACTTTTCTTTTTGGATTGTCCCAAAATGAATGTCTTGTTTCCTTTTTTGGCATGAAATATGTGGTTCTTATCAATTCACGTTATTCTACTCAAATCTCAACCACAACTTTTACTTTTCAACCACTTTATTAATAATCGTTCCAAATTGAAAGTGTACAACCATTATGGGATGGAGGTAGTATTACAAAAAAGTAGAAATTAGGAACTATTTTTATTGAACCTTTTTAGTGAATTTACAATAAAAATAGAAGAAATATACGAAAAGTTTTAAAAAAATAGGAACTATTTCCTACCTAGTAAAAAGTAAAAACCATTCAAAAAGAAAAAGTAAAAAGTAAAAAATAATTGGAGTCATTGGTCAAAAAATAAAATTAGCCGTAGTACCAAAAAAAGGAGGCACAGGAACTAGTGAATCTCAGGAACGTAAGTTTTTTTTTTCCTAGCCTGCAACTTGATTTTTCTTCACGACAACTAGGACTCTAGGAGCACATGCGTCAGGAAAAAAGGGGCAGCATCGGAATAGATCAAACAGCCGATTGTAAAAGCTGAGATTAATGACATTTCATGTTTTGGTTGTTTGAGACCAACAGGAATGTAAAAGTCATTTAACCAAACACTCTAATTAATTGATTATCTGGTCAAAAAGCTAAATAATGGTCAAACCAGTCAAAAAATGGCTGATAGGCCGGTAACCAAACACCCCCATCATCCGATTGTATGGTGAGCATCGTATTGGCGGTACGGTATACCGTATACACTCTCATAGTCATAGCCATAGGGGCGTATACGCCTTAAGTGTGCTTGCTAGATCACCTAAAATCAATTCAAATAATTTAATAAAAAATTATACAAGTATAGTTTTTTAGGAATTTGAGGGAATTAGATTAAAGTACTAAACTGTGATACGAGAAACTTTGAGGGAATTGAAATTTTCAAAGATAAGTTTCGTTAAAAAAGATGGCGGGTTTCTTCTTCCCATTTACAATTAAGGATATATAAGCAGGGGCGTATCCAGGGTGGGGGAAGGGGGGCAGCTGCCCCCACTCAACCCCCACCCAACCCTTTTATATATATATCCAATTTAAATTCACACATTTATATTTTTGTTCTGAATAAAGGGTTCTTATACATTAAGTACGAAGTAGTTGCTAAAATGCACTAATGGTAGAGCGGATGTAGTTGTACGTCTAAGATGCATGCACGTGATGAGGTCTAGTGTTCGTTTCCTATTTGATGCAGTTTATTTTTGTTTTATTTCTTTTGTCTTGAAGCCTTAAGCAAGTTGGTTTTACATTGTTCTTTTTATTTATTACTACGGTATTTCTTGTTGGAAAGATCTAAATACATGAATATATAGTTTCACATACTCCCTCTGTCCCGGAAAATTGTTCCCGATTTTCCTTTTTGGGTCGTCCGAAAAAATTGTTCCACTTTCCCCATTTGGAAAGTTTTTTGTGGCTAACTGGCTACAATTCATTTACCTTTTTCTTACTCACCCGCAACCATACATTTCCACTTTATTCCCACTTTATTAAACTCCGTTCCAAGTCAATGTGGGAACAATTTTCCGGGACGAAGGGAGTATGAACTAATTTTGTACATAATATAAACTACGGAGTATTTTTTAATATACTTGTGAATTTAAATTTAAATTAATTCTAACTAGATGCTCCTCCTTGCCTTAGTTGATTCATTTATACATTGACATAATTTTGCACAAATTACAGACTCCATGTGATAAAATTATTTCTAACAATCAAAGTGAAATTTAAGTAAACATGATATCATAATGTTTTTTAAGAAAGAATAATTTATTATTTATAATTGGTTTTAACAATTTTTTCTTGATCTGATTAGTTTGATTTTTCTTGTAATTTTTTCTTAATCTAAGGTAAATTCGCCCCCTCTGGCATCTTTTTCTGGATACGCCACTGTATATAAGTATGGGATACAAATAATTAGTATTGGCCTAGTATTCACTATTGTTAGCGGACTTTCTTCCTATTACATATACGGAGTACATTGTTTCCATCTTTACATCCGTTTAGAATAGGATGTATATTTATTTTCTATTTTGTAAACATTATTTAATCATTTCCTAGTCTAGAAGCTACGGTCATTAATTATAGCTATGCATTACAATAGGAATAGCTTATTTTCTTTCCTTTTTGATCACTGCTGTAACGTGAATATATGTAATTTTATATATATACATATACATGCAATAGATAGGACGGAAAACATTCTCTCCAGAGCATATTTTTATTGAGATAATTACCCCACATATTACTAAAACTTCACCACTTTCTCAATCTATGACTTAATGAGTTTTTTTCTTAAAATATAATTAAAATTCGTAATAATTAATTATTATATTAATAAATTATTAAATAAATTAATTATTATGACTAATATGCCCTTAGACAATTATTATAAAAGCCTAATTTCATATTGCTTTTAACCCTAAACCTTGTAGCCATGTCCCTGCGTAGATGCCCACCCATGCCGCATAGCTCCGCCGCCGCCCGATGTAAGTCATCGTCGCCGCCAAATATATCCACGCCCCCGCTCGTCATATAGCCACGCCGCCGTCGGAGCGAAGTCACCAACCCAAAAGCTGAGAAGCCGTCGGTCCGACCCGGGTGCCATGGCATCGTTGATGGCCTTTGCTCGCCCGACAACCTCCGTCCAAGTCTAGTCGTGCTGCCTCCACAGATGTCTGGCCTGGGAGTGCCGATCTGGAGCTCCATGGGTGAGATTCACTGCCTTCCTTCCACAAACGACAGGCATGGGAGCGCCGATCTAGAGCCCATGGATGAGATTCGCTTCAATACCTTCATAGACGTTGGTCTGGGAGCTTCGATCTGGATTCTGGAGCCCCATGATGAGATTGGCTTCATTCCTTCCATAAATGTGAGGCCTGGTGGCGCCGATATGGAACATTGGAACCCATTGAATCATGGATGCGATTTGCTTTATTGTGGCTCTGATTTGGAATTACACGCACATGTTCTTTCTTTTACATTTTTTTAGTTTAGGGTAAGAGCATTGAACACGGGAAGTGAATATGAGCATTGAGATTGGACAGTGAACACGGGAATAGATAGTGAAGAACGTGATCGATGAGTATGTGAACATATATGTAGTACAGGGCATTGAAAGAATGCATTAAAAAAGTTTGTTATGCACTAATTATGAGCAGTAGTGCAGTAACACATAACAGTAATGCCACCATAAAATGTAATATACTTAATTAAACATAAAATTATTAAATATAAAAAATAAAAACTATTAATAAATTCCTAAAATGAATGAGAAGAGAATTATTTTTTGCGCAAATGCAGTGATTATATCGGATGTGCATTGATGTAGTGCATTAATGTTGTGCAGTAACTGCAATATAAAGTGCAGTAATTTTAATTGCACCAAACCGGTGCAAAATGCACATATTTTAAATAAGGGTATTTTCGTCATTTAACATTTAAATATAAACGAATTTTCTTATTTTTTTTAAATTTTTGGTCATACAAAGGTATGAAAACTAGTTAGGTCATAGATTGAGAAACTTATTGAGTTTTAGTCATATGCTAGGAAATTTCCCATTTTTATTATATACCATTTACGATTTCTACATGGTATCAGAGCCAGCCGGCTCACGGCGGTAATTCTGCTCCTGCTGCGACGAAAACATGCATTCCCGGCGAACATAACTGAAGACGTGACGACGCCGACCAAAGAAAATTTTGCTAATGCAGTTTTGCATGACGAAAATGATTCGGCCGGTGTTAGACCAAATAAAAGTGATGTGCCCACATTGACAAGTGAGCAGTGGGCTTCGTTTATGGCCTATGTAAAGAGCACTAAAAATTCAGGTGAAGGAATTGTAGATGCGAAATTTGGTATCCCGTGGATGCTTGACACGGGTGGGTGCCTCATACCATATGACTAGCTAGAGCAAAATTCTTGCTCTCCGATTTACAGCCTATCTCAACCTCACCCGTCACTTTACCCAATGGGGAAGTAACAGAAGCAACACATTGCGGACGGGTGAAATTGGGGCCAGGAATATATTTGAACAATGTTTTATATGTTTGTGTAATCTCATTTCGGTAGGACGCCTTATCGATGATCTATCATGTTTTGTTATATTTACTAATAAGTATTGTGTGATACAGGACCTCACATTGAAGACGCTGATTGGAGCGGGTGAGCGCCGTGGTGGGGTCTACTATTTGTGTGGTATAGGGCGCATCCAGAGTTCTCATACCGTAAGTTTGGAGGATAATATTTTATGGCACCAACACATGAGTCATCCCTCATCAAGAGTGGTTCGTTTGCTTCCAGTTTCTATCAAGAATTCTGTTAGTAATAATTGTTTTAATAAAGATTGTGATGTTTGCATGAGGGCTAAACAGACACGTGAATGCTTTCCCGTTAGTACCAACCGTGCTTTAAATATATTCGAGTTGATACATTGTGATGTTTGGGGGCCATATCGGGAACCTAGTACTTGTGGATCTCGTTATTTTTTTACACGATTATTCGCGGGCGACATGGGTTCATCTTATGACTGAAAAATCCGAAGTTCCATTAATCATGCGGCGATTCTTTTCTATGGTGAAAAATCAATTTGATACTCGACTTAAAATTGTCCGGGCCGATAATGGTACAGAATTTCATTCATCCTTTGCGCTCTTATTTTCAAGAAGAAAGTATTTTATTTCAAACTTCATGCGTTGGCACACCTCAACAAAATGGACGTGTTGAAAGAAAACATCGTCACATTCTCAATGTTGCCCGTGCTTTAAGATTCCAGGCAAATTTACCTATTCAGTTTTGGGGAGATTGTATTTTAATTAATGGCACTCCATCTTTGATAAATGCTGGGAAAACACCATATGAAATGTTGTACTCCCTCCGTAACTTTAAAATCTTCCCATTTCAAAAGTAGGTAGATTAAGAATAGTGAAAGATGATATGAATTATTGAGGGTATGATGGGAAAATAGTGGAGTAATGTGGTGGAATGTAGGATAAATCCAAAAAAAAGTAGTTGTAATAGTGTATTATTTTAAGAATTATTGAGGGTATGATGGGAAGATTTAGAAATGAGAAGATTTTTGTGTTACGGACGAAAAAGGAAAGTGAGAAGATTTTTAAGTTACGGAGGGAGTATAAAATTACTCCTTCTTATGATGATATTTGGGTGTTTGTGCTACGTTGCATTTAAAGAACGTGGTCGCAAGTGTGTGTTTTTGGGTTATTCGTATACACAACGAGGATGGATTTACAGTCCAAGAGGCATTTTGTTTCGAGAGATGTACAAATCGTGGAACACGTTTTTCCTTTCTCCACTTTGGAATCTGAATGTCCCACGTCTATAACTCCATCCCAGCCAAATTATTTGCCTCATAACAATATTGATGATGAGGTGACCTCATGGAGTGGAGCCTTTGAACACATGCAACGTTCTTCTTTGGATAATTCTTACACACACTGTGCCCCACAAGCTGACATACTTGATGAGCGTCCACTTGAAGCCATGATACCTGGTGGATCTCCTAATGATACCGCACTGCCAGATGACTCCACAATTGGCGGCCAATCTCTTTCCCCACGTGGACGCGGTCATCGAAAGAAGACTCCTTCTGTACGCCTTAACCATTACTTGACCTCTTATGCCGCTCAAGTAGACCCCCCCTCGTCACTTCTCCTTCGGTGGCTTCAGGTAGTTCTTATCCCCTTGCTTATTATGTTAATTATAACAATTTTTCTGTACACCACCGAGCTTTTCTTGCAGCAATTTCAGTTGAAAAGGAACCTTCTTCTTATCGGGAAGCTGTTCGTGACCCGCGTTGGCGCGAGGCTATGCGTCTTGAAATTGATGCACTAGAACGAAATTAATGGGACATGGTCTTTAGTTGAATTACCCACTCATAAAAAGCCTATTCATTGCAAATGGGTCTACAAAATTAAATATAATAGTTCTGGCTCTATTGAACGCTTTAAAGCTCGATTGGTTATTTGTGGGAATAGGCAAATTGAGGGTATTGATTATCATGAAACATTTGCCCCTGTTGCCAAGATGACTACTGTCCGCACTCTTCTTGCCGTTGCTGCCTCGAAACGGTGGGAACTTCATCAAATGGATGTTGATAATGCTTTTCTTCACGGATCTCTTGATGAGGAAGTGTATATGTACCCACCGCCGGGTTTCACTTGTGCACAACCTCGCCTTGTGTGTCGTCTCCGTCGTTCACTTTATGGTTTACGCCAAGCTCCAAGGTGTTGGTTTGCGAAACTTAGCGCATGTCTGCTAAGTTATGGGTTCAAGCGGTCCTATGCTGATTATTCTTTATTTACTATGCACAAAGACAATGATTTCTTATGTGTTCTTGTCTACGTTGATGATCTTCTTATTGCCGGCTCGAATTCTCACACCATTGGTCTTTTAAAAGCTTACCTTGCTAACTGTACGTTTTCCTATTAAAGATCTTGGCAGGCTCAAATATTTTTTGGGGATTGAGGTGGCTCGTAATTCTACCGGCATTTTTTTTATCTCAACGCAAATATACTTTGGATATTCTTGAAGAGCTCGGTCTCTCAGGTGCTAAGCCCTCCTCTTTTCCCATGGAGCAAAATCAAAAACTAGCCTTGTCCCAGAGTTCGTATCTTTCTACACCTGACTCCTACCGTCGTTTAGTTGGGAAGCTTATATATTTAACTTTAACTCGCCCTGAGTTAAGTTATTCTGTTCATGTTCTTGCTCAGTTCATGCAAAATCCTCGCCAAGATCACTGGGACGCTGCCATTCGGGTTCTTCGATATCTCAAGGGCAGTCCTGGTCAGGGTATTCTACTTCGGGCTGATTCTAATATTTCTCTACAGGGTTATTGTGATTCCGATTGGGCTGCTTGCCCACTTAGTCGTCGTTCTTTAACGGGTTATCTTGATATGCTTGGTCATTCACCTATATCTTGGAAAACCAAAAAGCAACTCACTGTTTCCCGTTCGTCTGCCGAAACTGAATATCGCTCCATGGCCACTTTAGGATGTGAACTTCTTGGCTTCGCAACTTACTTTCTTCTCTTGGGTGCTCGTCTTCTTCGCCTATGACTGTCTACTGTGATAATAAAGTGGCACTTCACATTGAGATTGATTGTCACTTCATCCGGGATCTAATACAGAATGGCTCTTTGGTCTCTCGGCATATACCTTCAGCACACCAGTTAGCCGATATTTTTACTAACCATTAGGCGCTCAACAGTTCCGATATCTTATGCACAAGTTGGGCGTTTTGGATCCCTCCGCTCCAACTTGAGGGGGTGTTAGCAGACTTTCTTCCTATTACATATACGGAGTACATTGTTTCCATCTTTACATCCGTTTGGAATAGGATGTATATTTATTTTCTATTTTGTAATCATTATTTAATCATTTCCTAGTCTAGAAGCTACAGTCATTACAGCTATGCATTACAATAGGAATAGTTTATTTTCTTTCCTTTTTGATCACTGCTGTAACGTGTATATATGTAATTTTATATGCATGCAATAGATAGGACGGAAAACATTCTCTCCAGAGCATATTTTTATTATACCATTCTACAACTATTCATACGTTGTATATCAAATTCTAATTTTTACTCAAATCGTATTTCTGTTTGTTTAGTATTCGAACTTAAAAGAATACTTGTATTTGATTAACTTTTTCAGTATATTCAATTATATTCAAATATATATTCATATATGAACAAACATAATTCTACCCCTATAAAAAGTTTTACAAAAAAAATTGCTCAAAATAGGAGTTAAATATAGGAAAAGTTCTAAAAAGAAATAAGATTGTATTCTTCTCTAAATATAGGATTTATGTCAGCTAGCGTGGTTTTTTTGGCAGCGATGTGGTCTAAGAGATTTGATGAAGGGAAGAAGACGGAAGATGACGTGGTTGCTAAAATCAAGCATGTGGTCTACAAGATACTCTTTAGTATCTACCCACATGACTTGATCAAGTTTTGAAGTGGAGCTAAGGACTTTTTGGGAAGCCACGACTTAGCCTCTATATATACCGGATTTGTGTGCGTGCACCTTGCAGCACCATTATAGTTTTGATTTTTGACTTATTGGCCGCATATTTTTGCGTATAGGTCGAGATTGACTTAGAGTAGACTATAAGCCTCTTCTCACCCTTTCCTTTTCTCACGAAATAGGAGGGGGTGGGGGGCTTTTGATTTTTGGACACATTGTACATGTTAAATTTTGCTTGGGTGTTAATATAATTTAAATTTCTATAATTTAACATGTACAATGTGTCCAAAAATTAAAAGTCCCCCCACCCCCTCCTATTTCATGAGAAAAGGAAAGGGTGAGAAGAGGCATATAGTCTAGTCTAAGTGAATCTCGGCCTATTCATAAAAATATGAGGCCAATAAGTCAAAAATCAAAACTATAATGGTGCTGCAAGGTGCACACACGCAAATCCGGTATATATAGAGGCTAAGTCGTGGCTTCCCAAAAAGTCCTTAGCTCCACTTCAAAACTTGATCAAGTCATGAGGGTAGATACTGAAGAGTATCTTGTAGACCACAAGCTTGATCTTAGCAACCACGTCATCTTCCGTCTTCTTCCCTTCATCAAATCTCGCCTAAATTTATTTTGGCTTGTTTATTTTTGTTACCCTTCACTGATGTTGGGTTAATGGCCCAAATAGAGGATCGGCCCATTTACCCCCTCATTTGGACGAGCGTCCAGCCCAACAAGGCAGCCCACCCCGACGAACGTCCAGACAGGAGAACGGTGGATCAAGCCCGCAAGCAAACGTCGTGGCGACGAACGTCGCCACCAAAGGCCCGCAACCACATGATGCCCAATCCAACCTATATGACAAATTCTCCAAGGGCCAGAGTACAAACGGCCCACAACCCTTTGCAGTGTCACCAGGAGCAGGCCCCGGCCCAACTGGACGTTCGTCTCCACGAATTAGGCGGGAAACCCTAATTCTGGCGGGAAGCGCATTTAATGCTGCAAATTTGGTGGTTGAGATACCGGCCACTCACAGCATCCCACGTCAGTGTAGCCAACCGTCCATTGGTGATATAAATAGCTGCATTTATTTCATTGTAAAGGGTTGGCAACTGATTATCTTGAGCACTCTAGTTTATTACGTTATTACTCGCAGCTCTTCCACTGCAATGTAAGACGAACGGCCTTCGGCCTTAGCAAGTGTAATTGTACCGGGGCATTATTCATCATTAATAATATCCAGTCCTTTACCCATTCAATTTCCCTTTATCCATCTTATTTGCTTGTTGGGTCAGTTAATCACTCACACTTAACAATCCACTCGAAATCCTTGGGCTTACGTGTTGGACCCGAGGGTTGAAGGAATAAACCTCTGATCTTACCCTTCACCATATATTATGTCATTGAAGATTTATGTCTTCTTCCCTGATCTTACCCTTCACCATTATTTGGCTTGTTTATTTTTGTTTTCTAAGAGAGATATATATACATATAATTTTAACAGTGCAGATGAAGAAAGCTACCAGTTGTAGATTAAAATAAAAACTATACATGTTTGTATACAATCTTAAATGTATTATTATTGAATAATATTATTATATACTGAAGTTAAGTGAGTAGGTATAATATATTATTAAATGTGACAACTCTATCATTCATGCATGTTAATGTGTATGTATATTATATACACACACAAACACAACATTACTAATCATATTTATGCAAAAGTATTGATAAAACTATAATACATATGTCTTCGACTAGTCCTTGCCTAGGCACATAGGCACCCGACTAGCCGTCTATGCGCTATGCGCTAGGCTGGGCTGGCGTTCGATTAACACCTAGCGCCTTTTAGAACATTGGTACATTGTGTTGCTATTATACTCCGTAATTGTTGTTGTTGTTTTTTATATTACCTATTATATTAGTATCGTCATTATTATCCGTGTTTGAATGCTTATTTGAGTTTTTCGAATTCAAATAGTCATACACGACTTCGAATCACGAACCGAGTGCAAAATATTTGATTCACTTACAACCTTAGTCCTCAATATTTGAAGACATATGCTTCTATTGTTTCGTGCTACTAAGAATAAGGTCGTATATAGACGAGTTCGTACCATACAACCGGCTGTATGGTGAGCAGCGTACAACTGGTGGCATTTTCGTAATTTATGTCAACATCGTGGCTTTCGTTAAATGAGCATTAATGTAATTTTAGTGTGCTCAGATCTATTCTACTGAATATTGAGTCTAATCAGGGGCGGAGCCAAGACACTGGGCCGGTACAAAGAATATTTTTGGAAAAAAATTTACTCGAAATTTTTTACCCTAAAAATTTAGACATTTTTAAAATTTGGGCTGGGCCATGGCCAGGGTTGGCCACCCCCTGTCTACGCCCCTGAGTCTAATAATGAGTCGTGATATCGGCTTCATATCTGATCTTATAATTGACTTTTTTTCTTTTTTTAAAAAAAATATCTACAATGAACTCGTATGAATCCAATATGTGAACTTAGTGTAATATTATACTTTTGAAATATGCATGAATATGACATTTCAAAATGAGTATTACACCATTATCAAATGAGCATACATAAATTACGAAATGAGCATCGAAAAATTTAAAAAACGCATATAAATTCTCTATTATCCTCAAATTTTTATTTGTGTATGCTCATGTCAGTAAAACTACGTATAACTTAGGTTCCTCCTCACCTGCGGCAAACAAGCCACCAAAATCGCCAAACTTGCGTAAGGAAAAGATAAAAAAGAAAAGAGTGGAGAGAGAGGTGATAACATACTAGCGCTCTGGAGTACACACTCGGCAAAGCCGCCGTCTTTGTGCAAGCCAAAGGACAAGGTGTTGCATTCGTGTTGGAGGAGGAGAGATCATTGCGAGTGGCGAGCTGTCCATCTGCGTACGATGAGGGAAGGAAAAGCAGCGAGCAAATAGCGAATGGCGATTGAAGCAACGAGCGGTAACTAAAAGCCTGGTTGTACTGTGCACGTAGTGCAATCGGGTGTGTGATATAATTTAACGTAGATAGACTCAATTAAATGTCTTCGTGTCTAATTTCTCTGAGTTTAGAGCCAATAGAATAGAAATGAAATTCATAAGAACAGCGATCTAAAGACGGGATTGTAATGTCATTCGGGGTCCAGTCTAAATCATAGGCTCAATTAAGATCGCTCCAAATTTAATAAAAACATCCATTTTATATGTCAACAAAAATTTATACGATATATAAAAACTTTATATGGATCGAACTCATCCAGTTTGTGTATATGGTATAGGAAGCGGGGGAGGGAGATACTAACTTGATGAAGCAATGAGAATGAAAGTTATTAGCTTGATGGAAGGGATCGTCATCAACTTAATTAATTCTCTAAGCACAGCAATTATAATTAATATAATGTCTGGAATTCAATGCTTTCTTTATTATAGAATTGGAAGTTCATTTTCACTTTTCATCTCAACTGGAATAACAAACTTATTAGTGCAGGTATTTCGTGTGAACTTTACCCTAACAAATCGCTTTGTGTTTGAATTGTTCGTCAAAATTAACTTAGTCCCTTTCTCATCAAAATTAGGAATATCGTTATATTTACATACATATTAAAAGTATGAGGATAAATAAAATACAAAACTAAATGTAATTATGTCATTCTAAAATTAAAGTAAGAAAAAATTGGAGTTAACACCAATGAATAAAAAATTGAACCATAAACTTCATTTTCCTCCAAAAATGGAGTTGACCTGGCTAGATTCCTGTCAGGCTAGCCTAATGAGAACATTAAGCATTTTTTTAGAAAAGATTTTCTTTTAATAAAACCAATTCAAAGAAGGTACAAGTAGAAAAGAAAAAAGAAAAAAGAGAACAATAGGAAAGCAACTAAAGAGATATAGGCCCAACCCAAGTACATAGATGCCCCACGGAGATGCCCTTACTCTCTAAGCCTATAATCAACAACAACAAGACTCAGGTAGGGGTGGACTCGGGCCGGTACGGGCCTCGGTTCATGAAAGGGGAGGCCCGGAACCGGCCCGGGTAACCCCCGGGTCCGGGTTGGGCCGGGCCGGGCCTCGGTTCAATTTAATTTTTTTTTGGCTTTTCCTAATTAATCCCCAACCCTCCCCCCTCACCCCCAAACCACCTCAAATGGCCCAAAATACCCAGCCCAACCCAAAAAACTTAAAAAAAAAATCAAATAATAATAATAATAATAATAATAATAATAATAATAATAATAATAATAATAATAATAATAATAATAATAATAATAATAATAATAATAATAATAATAATAATAATAATAATAATAATAATAATAATAAATTGGCCCG